AAAAAAAAAGTATAAATTGAATACGTACGAGAGACAGAGAGGGGAAAAACGATAAGAAAAACAAAAAAAAGAATAAAAAAACAAATTAAAAATTAATTTTTATGAATAAGAACGTAGATATAGATAAACGCGTAATATTAAGAAGAAAGAAAGAAAATATAATTAATATATCTAATACTAGTGTACGTAATACAAAGAAACAAATTACGCGAGCCAATCTTGCTTACTTCCAGTCCTCGAATGCATGTATATAATTTCAATATATACAACTAGCGGTAAAATTGAAATTAATCGTTTTGACACATCCTCGTGGTCACGTTTTCATTCGGATAAGTTAAAATACATAGATCATATTTATGAACTATTGTTATATAAGTAATATTATTATTATTAATGAAAATAAAAATAATAATAATAATAATAATAATAATAATAATTGATTAATAGATCACTTAGAAATTATTTTGGAATGAATATCAAAGACGAGTAATAATTAAACATATAATAATATCAGTGCACGTTTCAAGCGTTAAGATAATACGGGATTTTCTTTTAGTTTTTCTCATTTCAATTAAAAGAATATTAGTGAAAAATAATATTTTTTTATCAAATCATTTAAGAAATATCTAAGAAATCATATTTTTTTTCGAGGCCTATCTATGTATGTCTAATAGATGTTCTAATAAATCATGCAAAGATTTAGCATTTGACACATGTGTACTTGTACGCAAACGATATAAAACTTGTCTATATCGAAAATTATAATTAACGTAATTTTGCTATAAAATCCAACTTTTATCAATTATTCATCATTGCTATATATATATCATTATCGATTAAAATTATATTTTGGAAGCTTGCAGTTTTTCTAAGGCATATATACCTTTTGTTTACAGAAATATACATATATACATATGTATGTATGTAAACACGATATATCCATGCAAGTGTTATACGGTATAGTGATATATATCGTACATTATATTTTCTATATGAAAATTCTATAAAAAATTAGTCAAAAGCTAGAAATATTTGTACTTATTACTACTACTGTACACAATGCATTCATTTCTCCACTTTTCTTCAAGGTACGTACGACATTATTTTAAACACGACCGCCTCACATTTATGGACCCTCATCGATATTTCTTTTATCTTACGCCCACGTTTGTTACAGACTTATACGTTAAATTGTTCGCTTTTGGCACTAATATTATGTTCTTTTGTATCAGTTATTTCGATACCTTCCATGCTATCCTCCTCATTATCAGATTCTTCTTGAATGAACGACATATTGTGAATGTCGTCAGAACTTCCTTCTTGCTGTACTATCCCGTAATCTTCCATTTCGTACTCATTCGCTTCATCATAAATGAATGCTGTCGTACCTGCGTTACAATCCTCGTTTCTTATAGTTAATACGCTTGGTTGAATTAAAATTTGATTACCCTCGGAATCATTAGTTACCATTAAAACAGCTCCATTCAAATCATGAATTTGTACGTTAGTATCTCTAGTCTCGTCATATTTCATTTCTTCATCTAAATTATCTTCATAAGAATCCATCTCGGAATCATTGATACTAATGTCCAGTTTTTCGTATCCATTCTCATTATTACAATCTACGTTTTGTTCGTCTATATCCATTTGCTCATCTATTTCCATTTGACCATCTTCATTGGTTGACATACTATCTTCTTCTTCTTCTTCTTCTTCGTCATTATCCATATTTTCAAAATCCTCGCATCCATATTCAATATTAATATTCATCTTATTGTTATCAGAATTTTCATAATAATTAATAGGATTGGCCATCGATGACATAGTATTTCTTTCAACATCGTTACAATTTTCAGGTAATTCGCATATTTCCAATGTTTTATCGTCATTCATTGTTACCATTGGACTAAGCTTGTGTCTCGTGTCATCTATTGGATTATTACGCTGTACCGATTCCTGTTCTAATAAAGGCATTATTGGACTCAAAACAGGTGGACCGTCATCTTCTTCATCTGTAAAATCCATTTGGCTTCTTCCTCCTTCCTTCTTCTTTACGTGAAAATTACTCAATTTAGCGCCGTTCAAGGATTCAGTTAAATTCAAATCTTGTTCTTCTTGTTTGTTTATTTCATTGCAATCTCTTATAGTTTCAGGACTCAATAATTTGATTTTCGAATTATCCTTCTCATCCTTATTTTTTTCCGTATCTTCGTTGTGTATCATAAAACGATTCATATCGTTTAAATTTTGATTTTTAATCGCCCCTACATTTTCCGAATTAGTATCGTCACTTTCGGTAGCAATAGTTCTGTTATTAGATTTAGACCTAGCTTCAAAATCATTTTCTCCTTCTGCTTCCTCTCCATTGCTCGTACTATTATTACTGCCACTGTCCAAACTCCCAGAATGCTCTGAATTTTCACTATTAGTGTATTCCTGAGTAGCACCATCTTCTTCCGATAAGGAATCAAAATATTCTTCTACTTCGTCGACTTCTACTTCATCGACTTCTTCTACTTCGTCGACTTCTACTTCGTCGACTTCTACTTCGTCGACTTCTTCAACTTCCTCAACTTCATCTACTTCTACCTCATCCACTTCTTCGACGACCGAAGTCTCATCACCTATCAAACTACCTTTCTCTTCATTCTCATTCTTCATATTATCTTCCGAATTACTTCTCGTCGATTCGATTTTCTTTTTACATATTAGTAGATGCTCGGAAAATTTACTCTCACTTTCAAAACTTCCTTGACATTTCTGACACCAAAATGGTCCAATGTCATCAATATGAACGCTCATATGTAATAATAATTTACTTCTAGCATTGTGATATCTGCCACAAGTTTTACACGTGAAATTATTCCCTTCGCAAGATAATATCGCTGCATGCGTAGCCTTTAAGTGATCAGATAAGTCTTGATAAGATTGACATAATTTTAAACAAACACCACAGGTTACTGCCGCTTGTGGTTTATGGAAACGAATAAGATGTTGCCAAAGATGTTTTTTGGCGGGCCATGGTTTACCGCAAACTTCACACGTACATTCGGTATTCGTTGATTCGTCATATACTTTCCGAGAATCTTTTCTCGAACATTTAGTTGCGGGTGGTTTCATATGCGACAATGGCATAAGTTTTGGTACAGGTTTCTGCGCTGATAATTGTAGATTTATATCTTCAAATAAATTAAAATCTGGAATGTTCAAATTCGTTTCGTTCATAAACGACGAAGCTTCTTCCTTCTTTATCTGATTATTATTTTTTAAATGAGTTTCTAAAATAGACGTAGATGCAATATTTTGCATGTCAAATCCACTATGTCTGCCGCATACATTAACGTGATTCCAGAATAAACTGTAAGTAGAAAATTGTTTTTTGCAATAGATACATTCGAAATTCTTTCGATTCCTCGCTTTTCGTTTACTATCATTATTTTTCTTTGAAGACATATGAATTGGATTTGTATTGTGAACATTTTCACAATGTTTCGCTAATGTTTCAAAATTAAGAAATATTTCTGGACACATCTCGCAATCAAAGGTATCGGTTAATGATCTTCTTCCTTTAGAATTATTTAAATCATTCTCACATAAATCTTCGTCAAAATCGATATCATCTGGTTCTTCTTTAACAATGATATCCACTGGCACATCCATACGATCTTCTAATAGAGCTACATGATTTTTAGAAATATTATGAACGTGTTCATAGTGATCTTTGATATCTTCATCGGTTGTAAAAACAGCTAAACAATGTTTACATGGTATAAATACCTTTCCATGACATTTATTTGTATGATCAAAAGCTTTCCATTTGGATGCATACTGTTTTCCACATACGTGGCATGTATTTGGCATGGATAAAACACTTTCATGTTCATCTTCGACGTGTTTCTTCAAATCTTTAGGATCTTTCATAGGTATCAAACAGACTCCGCAAGATACTCCTATTTCATTTCGATGTAACGATAGTACGTGCATTTTTAATTTAAGTTTATTCTCTACTGTATCTCCACAGTAATCACAAACATTCGGACTCATGTGATATCTATGATCTTTTTTATGAGACTCTAAATCTTCTTTAGTTCTGAATAATTTATTACAATTAGTGCAAGTCAAATCTGGATGGTTCATGTGATTGATGCGATTATGAGTCATAATACCCAATTTCGAAGTAACAGTCTCCTCACATAAATGACAAGTATAATTGCTATGATGATTCTCAATATGCTTTCGTAGACTCGCACGATCTTTGAATATTCTTTCACAAGCACGACAACGAGTCAATAATGCTCCTGGATCTTTCCGATAGTTCTGACAAGCTTTCATATGACGTCTAAGTAAATATCTTTTATAAAATCCCTTATTACATTTCTCACAATAATGTAAAGCCACTTCTTCTCCGTTAGAAGATTTAAAATTTACTGAATTCTTATTATCCTTTGTAACTTCTAACTCATACCTATGAATTTTAGCGATATGTCCTGCTAAATGATCTTTAGACGCACTCGTTTTCAAACAGTAAGGACACGTTATATCTACGTGACCTTTATGTACTCTATTTACATGTTTCCATAAATGAGACGTTCTGCCGTAATATTTGTTACAAAGATCGCACGGAAATAGACCATGCACAATACGTCTGTGATTGCATAAACTTTCCAAATTTGGAAATTTCATTTCAACACAAATTTCACATGTTAAATCCGTCGTTTCCGGTGGTACACTATGCCCATAATTTGACGATTCGTTCAAGTTAGAATTAATACTGTTGTTATATGCATCAACTTTCTTTCTATGAATATTTCTATGTTTTAACATTTTAGATTTGTTAGCATAAGGTCTTCCACATATATCACAACTAAAATCAGCATTTGTCAATGGCCAATGCAGAGTTCTCACGTGCGTTCTAAGAAGCAAACAGTTTGGAAATATTTTCAGACAAACACCACATATAAGCGGCACTGTTGCATGATGTACTCCCATCACGTGCTTCCAATAATCCACTCGAGTGTTCCATAATTTACCACAAATTTCACAGGTATTTGGCAAAGAGCCTTGCATATTATGATGACTTATGTGATCATTGCGTAATGTTTTGGTAGCAAATATTTTTCCGCAGCCTTCCTGTTCGCACTGCAAATCAAAAATTAAAGAAACAATTGTTTTTTAAACAAAGAATCTTTTGTTATTGTATCTTGTATGCACATGCAATATATTAATTTTTACTTTGAACGTACCTTGATAGATGGTTCATCGCTATGCTCACTACTGACATGTAACCAACGTTCCCATTTACTACGATGCGAATTACCACAAAGTTCACAGACATAAAATAAATGACATTGTGCCTTATTACCAGTACCATTCATATTTCCTGAATTCCTATTACCACCAAGGACATCGGTTATTTGCTCGTTCTAATCAAAGATAGATAGAATTAAATTTTTTCATTCTAAATATTATATAAACTTTAATAATATTTTTAAAAAACAAATAAATAAATAAAACCTTATGAGCATTCCTCAAGTGTCTTACAAGATGGTCTTCATTTGGAAATGATTTGTAACATATATAGCAGTCTATTTTTTCTCCCTCATCTCCATCATACTCCAAAATATTTTCGTTTGCTTCATTACCATTTAACGTTTCGCTACAAAAATTACTATTTAACTGTACATAATTTGCGGGATCAAGTGTAGTATTAATATTATGTATCGATACATGAGCGATTAACTTTTTTCGTGAATCGTGTTGTCTTCCACATATTGTGCAGCTATACCTAATATAATTAATTAATGTTAAAAAAAATAATAATTAGTGATCTTCATGAATAATAATATATATTTGTGATATACCATAGATTTAATATGAAATGAAAAAAGTTACCTTCTCTGTTCAGATATAAGCAATTTTGATCCTCCATGAAACATATTAACGTGACTTACAAGTTGTTTATTGTTGGAACATATTTTCAAACAGACTCCACAAGCAAAAGCAGCATATTCTTTGTGCGTCGCACGGATATGTAACCACAACGATGCTCTATCATGAAATTCCCGTGAACATAATTCACATAAAAAAACAGTCTCCATATCCAGTGAATTTTCAGGGACATTTCTATCTGGATTTTCATCTTCATTTTCTATATTTATCTGAATACAAGAAAAAAGTAAACGCATAAGCATCTAGCGATATTAAAAAATATTAAAAAGTTTCTATATTATATTAGTCAAATATGACTCAGAGTTACTTACTTCTGGAGACGAAACAAACTCTGAAGGTTCCTTCGTATCTTTTTGATCGGATATAGGTATCGGCATCTGTTGACCCCATGGTTTCGTAAGAACAATTTGTTTTAAACATAAATTATTATCTACAAGAGGATTTGGGTCAACTCCATGCAATACCAAAATATGATTACTAAGCAATGATTTTAAAGCAAATTCTTCTCTACACAATATACATATAAAAGGTTTATCGGTTTCATGCGTAGTCTCGTGTTTTTTCAAATCTTCTACCGATGTAAAACCTTTAGAACATATGTTACAGTACCACTTCTGAATTTCACCATCCTCTGAGAAATGCAATAATATTTTATGATTAATTAAGCGTTCAATGTTATTAAGAGTAAAAAAAAAAAAGAAAAAAGTATTGATTAATTACCCATTTTCATTATCTTAGGTGGATTAACTTCTCCATCTGGAGCACTTCTTTTACTCCCTTTAATCAACGCTTGTTTCAATATCGTAAGTTGTGGATTTTTCGCTAATTTTGCTTCTGCATTTTTAAATCCTTTATTTTCATCATCTGTATCCCAACTCGATACATCCGAAGTATCAATCACCAGTTCTTTCATATTGGTTATTCCGCTTCTAATATCAGATTGTACTTCAATTGAGTGTCTCACACAAAGTTGACTATGAATATTTAAGTCAGTTATACTTGTGAACATTTTTGAACACGTTTTACAATAATATTTCGGTTTTGAGCGATAAAGAGGATTTAGTAATTTAGTTGATTTCAAAACACCTGCATGTCGAGATTTAACATGTTCTTCCAAATTCATTCTGGTTGAATAAATGCGTGAACAATACCCACATGTAACAGCAGGATGTCCTCTAAATTACAATTATATAAATATTCTAATATTCCTACATAATATATATAAACCTTAGGAAAAAATACTTACTTGTGCGTCGTAGATACATGTCCCCATCGATGTTTAGCTGTTGAATAAGATTTGTTACAGAGATCACACTGATAAGGCCTTTTATAAGAAGTATGATCATCGGTGATAACCTTCTGACCAATAACATTGCCCGCGCCTGTATGAATTCTCGCATGAAGGGACAAATGTCCTTTGGAACTAAATGCTTTGGTACACAACGAACACACATACACTTCATGTTGCTCCAACGTATGTTGAAATACTGTAGAATTTTGCATTGCTGTAGGGATATTTTTGGAACTCGTTTCTTCGTTATCTTCAGTTACCATTGGGGGCATTTCTAAGAAATCACTAGGATTAGTTTCCATATCCAATTCAAATTCATCTGATTTTCTATCATCCGAATCAAACGTTGCCTCTGTTATTAAACAAACAAATGAATAATTATAAGAAAAGATAATACAAATGTTAAATATATTTGTGTAATTAATTAAATAAATTATATGTACCTTCATCCGTGGCACCATTTTCAAGATATTCTTCTATTTCATGATCCACTTCACCACTGTAATTTAATCTTGGTGGTGTACCCAGAGCTGCATTGGGATTTACTATGGGAGCTTCTGGTATTATTATTGGTATATTTTCTTTTTCTTGTTGAAATTGTACATTACTGTACTGCGTATAGTTATTTATATCACTGTCAAGTGCCTGCAATGTGAACAAATTTATAATAAATATTCTATTAATTATTTCTTTCTAAGATATTATATATTATACATAAAACAAATAAAAACTTACTTCGCTTGGAGGTAAATGTTTTTCTAACAATAACACAGCATTGAGGCATGCTGTCCTAAAGTCATAAAAATTCTCCAGGTTGTAAATACAACGACTGCATACGCTCTTTGGAAGATTATCATTTTCTCTGACCTAAAATAAAATGGAAAAATTAAAAAAATTAAAAGAAAAGAAAAGAAATGAAAAGATTAATTGCAACATATGAACTTTATTTAATACGTTAGATCTGTTTAATATATGTTTCTAAACAAGTTTACATCTCATATAATTGTACGTTAAAAATATTGCAAATAAACAAATAAGTAAAACCAAACAAAAGTATACGAAAAAGTCTAAGAAAGTAAATTCATTGCTAATAATATTTTTAAAGATAGAGAAACCTTTTCTTTTATTGATAATTATAATAATTATATCTCGATATTTTAAAAAAAACACACCTATTAATAACGACATAAACGTAAACATTAAACTAATAATTCATAAAAATATTGCGATTGAAAACAGAAAAATATTTTTTAAAAAACGATTTTGTAATTTTTGTAATTTTTGTATAATTTGAACTCTCCTGAAATTTTCCATGGACGATCTAATGACTTAGAAGGAATTCAGGAAATAAAAACTCTGGTAAATGAACAAATAAAATACAATATTTGAAAAAAAGAAAAGCAGGATGGAAAATATCACTAAAGAAATATTTAGACCTTTGTTAAAGAAAGATTGTATTGAATTCCTTGGAATCATGCTGTTATCGCCGTTTCTGCAGGATTTAATGACTCGTAGTCTACTATACCTATTCATGAAAGAGAGAAAGAGAGAAAGAGAGAGAGAGAGAGAGAGAAATAAGAAAAAAAAGAAAAAACAAAAACAAGGGAAAGCGACCAAATTTTTTCTCTTTATTTCTTTTTCCTTGAAGAAAACTATAGGTACGAACATTAATATCTCAGGTAAAAAGCACACATTGCTAAAAGTAACTATTGTAAAGAAGATCAAGAAAGAATACATTTAACTAGTGTGAGCTTTACAAATTTACTACGATTTATGGAAATTTTCTGGAATTTCTACGAAATTCTATAGAAAATATTAAAATATTGTATAGAGAAAATGAGAAGAATATTACATTTAACCTGAGAGAAAACTAAAAAACGAAAAAATGTACGAAATTTATAGAAAATTCTAAAACTTTTTATTTTATAAAAAATGAAAAAAAAAAAGAAAACAATGACAAGGGTGAGAGAAAAAAGAAGATATAAAAATATTTAAAAACATTCCAAACAGGCAACAAGTATAAAAAGAGAAATGTTAAAAAAAGGAAAAGAAATTACATGAGCAAAAAAGACAAAAAATGTAGAAAATCTATGGAAAATTCCTATAAACTAAGAATGAGTATAAAGAAAGATATATAAAATAACAAAAAAAATTACAAAAGAATTACAAGGGTGAAAGGATGAGGGTGTGTGTGTGTATGAAAGAAAGAGAGAGAGAGAGAGAGAGAGAGAGAAACAGAATCAAGTATCAAACACACAATCTACTAGAATATATATATACAATATAATAAATATGTAAGAACGAGAAAGAAAAAAAGATATTCACCTGGAATGGCAAACAAGCTTGAATTTTTTGGACGAATTGTCGTGTTTTGCCCTCCTGACCGAAAATATCCATCATAACAGCGTCGTAAGATGCACACAATCGGCAGAGTCCATGATAACTTTGTCTAGACTCCATCGTCATCGTTGTCGTCCTCGTCGTCGTCGTCGTCTTCGTCTTCGTCTTCGTCTTCGTCGTCGCCGTTTTCGTCTTCGTCGTTGTCGTCGTCGTTGTTGTTATCGCCGTAGTTGCAGTCATTCTCTTTTTCGTTAACACTAGTCTTCAATGTTGTGTTGTTGATTGTTGTTTTTAATGCACAAGTCCTCGTCGTCGTCGTCGTAGTAGAAAATATATCAGAAGATGTGTTAGCTGCAATTAGGAATGATGACGACGATGATGGTGGTATAACCGAAGGAAAACGCAGTCTGTCGTGACGCCGTTTTTACAAAGCTTACCTCTTGGCCTTCGACTGCGTTATATATCACAAGATGTAGTAAGTAATTGACTCTCGCGGTATAGCGCTCAGTAGACGAAGAACGTATACGTGCTCTTACCCAAGAGATACGACGACAGAGACTAAGAAGAGAACCCAAGGGGGCGGGTAGAGGAGCGGTTAGGACGGACAGGGACAGGGGAGGGGAAGAAAGAGAAACGAAGGTTTAGCAGAAGACCTTAGTTAGGTTCACTCCAAAGTCCCTGAGAGAAGAAAAGGTAGAAAGGAACACAGGGGGTTAGGGAGGGGCGGCAGTAAGAAAGGTAAAAGTTAAAGAAGAATAACAACGATTCTTCTATAAAAGGACGAACACTAATGCACTTTTAACTAACTTTCGGACACCCCAATAACCTGACCGAACGAACGAACGAACAAACGAACGAACAAACGAACGAACGAACGAACGGACGGACGAACGGACGAACGAACGAACGGCCAACGACGACTGTGTTTCGTCTTCGTCACCTTCCTCTTCTTCTTCTTTTTCTTTTTCACTTAAGTCTTCTTATTTTTCTCCTCCTTATTATTATCTATCTTCCACTAGTATTATTTCTTCTGTATCTTCGCACGCGTTTAAAAAAAAAAAAAAATCGTATTATTTAATATTTTCCTTTGGTTACGTCTTCTTCTTCGAAAAAAAAAAAAAAAAAAAAAAAAAAAAAAAAAAAAAAAAGAAAGAAAGAAAAAAGAAGAAAAAAAAAAAGAGGAAAAAGTTACGAGACTATATCCTCCTCGTAGATTCTGTTATTTCATCAAAAGCCAGGGGGCTTAAGGAAGCTCCGAGCTCGAGGATGTCAGAGCTTGGGTCTTTTTCTTCTCGGATCACATCCTTTGACAATTAGTCGTAGTCTCGGCTCTCGCGATACCGCTCTCCTCCGCGGGGCTGTATCGCTAAGCTATACAATACTACTACTAAATACTACACTACTACTATTGTTACTATTTACTATTTACTATTACGACTACTACTACGCTACTACACTTGTCTTTCTCTTCCAGCGTATTTTATTTTTTTTTTACAACGAGAGCACTCGCTTTCTCGCGATTTTCACGACAGTGAAAGCCCCGGGCGCCGCCATCTTGTACACAGACACTTGTTTCCCTACCCGGACCGATCGGATAAGCACCGCCAGTACCGTCGTCGGCGAACTCTACCGTCGTTAGCCGTGGACTTTCCACGATACAGATTGACACGTTCCTTCCTTCTCTTTCTCCCAACAACGTTTCTCCGTCTCGTAGTTGACATCGCGCGATCGCTCGAAGCGATGGCTTTGCTTGTTGCGCGCTTCCTTCCTTCCTTCTCCGAGATCCACAATGTGGGGGATCCTCCTGGTGAATTTTATTATACGGCCATGGAAGGGTAAAAAGAGATCCTTCCTTCGTACATTATTCCGAAGACGCTCTCTTGATGACCTTGACGAACGTAATCGCTCGTAACACTGCGTCTTGAGAAAAGACATATTAAATTCTTTCTATTCGCATAAGATTTCCTTGCTTCGTTTCTTTCTCTCTTTCTTTATCTCTGTCTCTCTCTATTTCTTCCCTTCTCTCTCTTTCATTCATATTTTTTTCAAGCTACATTCTCAAAATGCGATAGTTTCCTCATTTATCATCACCTATCATCGACCAATCATAATCGACATCATTATTGCTTCATTTTGATTGGCTTTCGTATGTTTCGCGTTAGAGATACTTTTCGATATTTTCATGAGAGATCCTATTCGATCGATTGATCGTTTATAATCGGAGATATTAATTTATTTATATTTTTATATTATAAAAAAGCTGGAATTGAACTCTCTTCTTTTTTCTTTACACACACACACACACACACACACATAAATAGTAATGCATAAATATAATGTAATATTTTAAGAAAAAGAAAAAATATTAATATCAATTAATAACAAGTATATGTATCATTATATTGCTATGTAATTAT